TAACAGTGGTACCTCCCCGGTAACAGTGGTGCCCACGGTAACAGTGGTACTCCACGGTAACGGGACTCCACGGTAAGGGTACTCCACGGTAACAGTGGTACTCCACGGTAAAGGGTACTCCACGGTAACAGGGTACTCCACGGGGAACAAGGGGACTCCACGTAGCAGTGGTACTCCACGGTAACAGTGGTACCCCACGGTAACAGTGGTACCCCACGGTAGAGTGGGTACTCACGGTAAAGTGGTACCCCACGGTAAAAGTGGTACCCCCGGAACATGGTACCCCTCGGTAGCAAATGGTACTCCCACGGTAAACAGTGGTACCCACGGTTCAGTGGTAACCCCCCCGGTAACAGTGGTACCCCACGTTAAACAGTGGTACTCCACGGTAACAGTGGTACCCACGGTAACAGGGTACCCACGGTAAAAGTGGTACCCACGGTAGCAGTGGTACCCACGTTTAAAAGTGGTACCCCACGGTAAACTGGGTACCCCACGGTAGCATGGTACCCCACGGTAGCAGGGTACCCCACGGTACAGTGGGACCCCACGGTAGCATGGTACTCCACGGTAACGTGGTACCCCACGGTAACAGTGGGACCCACGGTATAGCAGTGGTACCCCACGGTAGAGTGGTACCCACGGTAAACAGTGGTACACCCACGGTACAGTTTTTTCCAGAAAAAGGTAGGATACCTTAAACCCCCGTAGTATGGTCCATCCCGGAAGTCCCCACTACTAGTGGACCCCCGGAGCCGGGTACCCACCCACGGGGGCCGGATGGGGGACACTCCACTGTAAGCTAGTGGGTCCCAACTCCACAGTGTAGCTCCCGGACGGGGTCCCCACTATAGTGTAAGCTCCCGGGAGCCAGTCCCTACTCCACTGGAAGCTAGTGGATCCCCACTTAGTGAGGTCCGGATGGGATCCACCACGTAAGGCATCTGGGGACCCCACGGGGAAGATGGGACCCCACGTTAAGTGGTACCAGCCCCCCGTAAAACTCCGGGACCCCACTCCCCTAGTGAACTCCCGGAGAGTGGTACCCCAGGGAGCCCCTGGTACCCCACTATTAGTGAAAACTTCCCGGGGAAGTCGGGAGTCCCCCCCACAGTGAGGGTCCGGGAGTGGGAGTCCCACTCACTAGTGAAGACTCCGGAGTCCGGAGTCCCCTCCACTAGTGAAGGTCGGATCCGGGAGTCCCCTCATTAGTGAGACTCCCGGGTCCGGAGTCCCCACTCCACTAGTTAAGGCTCCCGGGGGGTCCGGGAGTCCCCACTCATACTGAAGACTCCCGGGAGTCCCACCCTATAGTGAAGGCTCCCCGGGGGGTCCGGGAGTCCCACTTACTAGTGAAAGGGTCCCAGGGTCCGGAGTCCCCACGCCGCTAGTGAAGACTCACGGTAGTCCCCACTCCAATAGTGAAGACTCCCGGTAGTCCGGGAGTCCCCACTCCATTAGTGAAGACTCCCGGGAGTCCCCACTCCACTAGTGAAGACTCCCGGGAGTCCGAGAGTCCCCACTCCAGTAGTGAAGACTCCAGGTAGTCCGAGAGTCCCCATTCCAGTAGTGAAGACTCCAGGTAGTCCGAGAGTCCCCACTCCACTAGTGAAGACTCCAGGTAGTCCGAGAGTCCCCACTCCAGTAGTGATGACTCCAGATAGTCCGAGAGTCCCCACTCCACTAGTGAAGACTCCAGGTAGTCCGAGAGTCCCCACTCCAGTAGTGAAGACTCCAGGTAGTCCGAGAGTCCCCACTCCAGTAGTGAAGACTCCAGGTAGTCCGAGAGTCCCCACTCCAGTAGTGAAGACTCCAGGTAGTCCGAGAGTCCCCACTCCAGTAGTGAAGACTCCAGGTAGTTCGAGAGTCCTCACTCCAGTAGTGAAGACTCCAGGTAGTCCGAGAGTCCCCACTCCAGTAGTGAAGGCTCCAGGTAGTCCGAGAGTCCTCACTCCAGTAGTGAAGACTCCAGGTAGTCCGAGAGTCCCCACTCCAGTAGTGAAGACTCAAGGTAGTCCGAGAGTCCCCACTCCAGTAGTGAAGGCTCCAGGTAGTCCGAGAGTCCCCACTCCACTAGTGAAGACTCCAGGTAGTCCGAGAGTCCCCACTCCAGTAGTGAAGACTCCAGGTAGTCCGAGAGTCCCCACTCCACAATACTAAGAGTCACTGAACGTTATATTACGCTCTTACTTAACGTTAGGTGATGCTGATTTGTTTTTCTATTGAGTTGTGTTGTAACTGGACGTTTGTCTTACCAAGGTGTTTATCTGACAGACCTGTCTCGTTTTTCTAAGTTAGATTTAAGTTAGATTAAGTTAGGCCATGTGGTCACTCCAGCACATCCCTGTATAACTTAGAAGAATGTCAGTAAGGCAAATGTGTACGAATATATAAAGAAGTTATGTCTATATGATTATGAACTTAATAACTAAGGAAGCTAATTATTCTCTCGTTTCCGGATAATTTTTTTTATCAACATGACTTGTGTAACAATATTTCGTATGGAACTGAGGATGGATTGTAATGGCGATTTTTATGATGATCATCTTAATCTTATCAGTTATGTCAAGTGTTACTCTGGTAGACATGTCCTCGTGATGCTGTTATATGTAATGTAATGCGAGATCTATCAGTCACTGATCTTGTGAGTTGACTGGTACTCACACGTGAGAATCTACATACACTGGATCACGTTATTATGACACAAGGTCGACCTGCCTGTGCTCAGGAGAAGGATGATAGAATTTTTGTTGGAGGGGGGCGGGGGGGGAGTGCATGCTTGACTGAGAACCTAGCAGCCTTATTTGGGCATAAAATATACACCAAGAGGTATATATCTGTGTGCGTATATATTTTATATATATAATATATATATATATATATATATATATATATATATATATATGTATGTATATATATATATATATATATATATATATATATATATATATATATATATATATATATATATATATATATATATATATATATTATTTTTATTATCACACTGGCCGATTCCCACCAAGGCAGGGTGGCCCGAAAAAGAAAAACTTTCACCATCATTCACTCCATCACTGTCTTGCCAGAAGGATGCTTCACACTACAGTTTTTAAACTGCAACATTAACACCCCTCCTTCAGAGTGCAGGCACTGTACTTCCCATCTCCAGGACTCAAGTCCGGCCTGCCGGTTTCCCTGAACCCCTTCATAAATGTTACTTTGCTCACACTCCAACAGCACGTCAAGTATTAAAAACCATTTGTCTCCATTCACTCCTATCAAACACGCTCACGCACGCCTGCTGGAAGTCCAAGCCCCTCGCACACAAAACCTCCTTTACCCCCTCCCTCCAACCTTTCCTAGGCCGACCCCTACCCCGCCTTCCTTCCACTACAGACTGATACACTCTTGAAGTTATTCTGCTTTGCTCCATTCTCTCCACATGTCCGAACCACCTCAACAGCCCTTCCTCAGCCCTCTGGACAACAGTTTTGGTAATCCCGCACCTCCTCCTAACTTCCAAACTGCGAATTCTCTGCATTATATTCACACCACACATTGCCCTCAGACATGACATCTCCACTGCCTCCAGCCTTCTCCTCGCTGCAACATTCATCACCCATGCTTCACACCCATATAAGAGCGTTGGTAAAACTATACTCTCATACATTCCCCTCTTTGCCTCCAAGGACAAAGTTCTTTGTCTCCACAGACTCCTAAGTGCACCACTCACCCTTTTCCCCTCATCAATTCTATGATTCACCTCATCTTTCATAGACCCATGAGCTGACACGTCCACTCCCAAATATCTGAATACATTCACCTCCTCCATACTCTCTCCCTCCAATCTGATATCCAATCTTTCATCACCTAATCTTTTTGTTATCCTCATAGCCTTACTCTTTCCTGTATTCACTTTCAATTTTCTTCTTTTGCACACCCTACCAAATTCATCCACCAATCTCTGCAACTTCTCTTCAGAATCTCCCAAGAGCACAGTGTCATCAGCAAAGAGCAACTGTGACAACTCCCACTTTATGTGTGATTCTTTATCTTTTAACTCCACGACTCTTGCCAAGACCCTCGCATTTACTTCTCTTACAACCCCATCTATAAATATATTAAACAACCACGGTGACATCACACATCCTTGTCTAAGGCCTACTTTTTCTGGGAAATAATTTCCATCTTTCCTACATACTCTAACTTGAGCCTCACTATCCTCGTAAAAACTCTTCACTGCTTTCAGTAACCTACCTCCTACACCATACACCTGCAACATCTGCCACATTGCCCCCTATCCACCCTGTTATACGCCTTTTCCAAATCCATAAATGCCACAAAGACCTCTTTAGCCTTACCTAAATACTGTTCACTTATATGTTTCACTGTAAACACCTGTATATATATATATATATATATATATATATATATATATATATATATATATATATATATATATATATATATATATAGCTCTTTTGCCTTGAATCCCTATTTAAGTTCACGTATTATTTTTATCTGGTGGTATAAAAATGAAATGTAGCCTGAAGTGACCCCTCGTGTAGTAGAAATATGATATAAACCTAATAAAGTAAACCAACCTCTTCGGTTTAAATGGTGTGGATATTTGAGCATGTCTTAATAACAGACAGTATCTCAGTATCGCTAAGATAGTCAAATGGGTGACTGTTTCACGAGTATTTGACTTTTCCAGTGCGTGTGGAGGGTCTCTGTTTTCTGATCACAATTCAAGATATTTGTCATTTAATTTTTAAATTTTCTTTTGGCTTGCTACTGACGAGAACATGTAATTTAACTTTCAGAACCTCGAGGTAACACTAGGGGAGCCCTTTCAGTTATAATCACATCATGCACGTTTACTCATGATAAATAATTCAATATTGAGAGTATTTATGGAAGAGAGAACAGCTTATAAATGCTGACTCACCTATTGATCCAAACTGAGATGATTTTAAAAAAATCTTCCTCTGCTTGCAGGTGGGTTGAGAGGATTAGCATCATCGTGGAGCAGTGAAGCGGCGGCGGCGGCAACAATAGCAGGAGAAGCGTGAAGACACCAGGATGTCAGGGATAGACAACCCAAACTTCCAGAACGACACGTATACCAACGGTGTGGTGGTGTGCATAGACGACCCCAGCCACCACCCAACCGTAAGTCTTGGAAGGTGGAGGCAGAGCAGGTGGAGGCAGAGCAGGTGGAGGCAGAACAGCTGGAGGCAGAACAGGTTGAGGCAGAACAGGTGGAGGCAGAGCAGGGGGAGGCAGAGCAGGTGGAGGCAGAACAGGTGGAGGCAAAGCAGGTGGAGGCAGAACAGGTGGAGGCAAAGCAGGTGGAGGCAGAGCAGGTGGAGGCAGAGCATGTGGGCAAGCAGGGGAAGGAGAGCAGGTGGAGGCGAGCATGTGGGGCAGACAGGGGGATGCAAAAGCTGGGGCAAAACAAGTGGAGGCAAAACAGGGGAGGCAGAGCTGGGGGCAGAGAGGTGGGGGGTAGAGCAGGGGGAGGCAAAGAATTGGGGCAGAATGGGGGAGGCAGAACAGGGAGGCAGAACAGGTGGGGGAGAGCAGCTGGAAGCAGAACAGGTGGGGGCAGAACGGTGGGGGGAGAGCAGGGGGGGCGACAGGAGGGAGGCAGGTGGGGCAAAACAGGGGGAGGCAGAACGGGTGGAGGCAGAACTGCGGAGGCAGAACAGGTGGGGGCAGGCGGGGGGGAGGCAGAGCGGGTGGAGGCAGAGCAGGGGGAGCAGAACAGCTGGAGGCAGAGCAGCTGGTTTCAGAACGGGTGGGGGGCGGGGAGCGTTGGGAGGCAAACTGGTGGAGCAAAAGGTGGAGCAAACGGGTGGAGCAGAACGGTGGGGGAAAGGGTTTCAGTGGGGGCAGAGCAGGGGGGAGCGAGCAGGTGGAGGCAGGCGGTGGGGGACGAGCAGGTGGAGGCAAAAGGGGAGGAAAGCACTGGATTCAGAAGGGGGGAGGCAGAGCGGGTGGAGGCAGAAAGCTGGAGAGAAAGGGGCAGAACACTGGGGGCAGAACAGGTGGAGGCAGAACGGGGGGAGGCAGAGAGGTGAGGCAGAGCAGGTGGAGGCGAGCAGGTGGAGGCAAAACGGTGGAGGCAGGCAGGTGGGGGCGAGCAGGTGGGGGCAACAGGGGGAGGCAGAAAGTGGGGGCGAGCAGGGGAGGCAAACAGGTGGAGGCAAAGCAGGGAAGCAGAACAGGGGGAGGCGAGCAGGTGGAGGCAGAGAGGGGGAGGCAGAACAGGTGGGGGCAGAGCAGGTGGGGGAAAAAAGGGTGGGGGGCAGACGGTGGGGGCGACAGGTGGGGGCAGAACAAGTGAGCAAGCAGGTGGAAGCAAAAAACAGATTGAGGCAGAGCAGGTGGGGCAGAGCAGGGGAGGCAAACAGGTGGAGGCAGACCAGGTGGAGGCAGACCAGGTGGAGGCAAGCATTGGGGGCAGAGCAGGTGGAGGCAGAAAGGTGGAGGGGAGCAGTTGGGGCAGAACATGGAGGCAAACAGGGGGAAGCGAGCAGGGGGAAGCCGAGCAGGTGGAGGCAGAACAGGGGGAGGCGAATAATTGGGGGCAGAACGGGGTGGAGGCAAAAACGGGGTGGGGGCAAACAGGTGGGGGGCAGAGCAGGTGGAGGCAGAGCAGGGGAGGCAAGCAGGGGAGGCAGAGCGGGTGGGGGCAAACAGCTGAGGCAGAACAGGGGGAGGCAGGGGAGGTGGGGGCAGAACGGTGGGGGCAAGGGGGGGGGGGAGGTAGAACGGGTTTGGGAAGAGCAGGGGGAGGAAGAACAGGGGGGAGGCAGCCCGGGTGGGGGCAAGCGGTGGAGGCAAGCAGGGGAGGCGAGCAGGTAGAGGCAGAACGGTGGAGACAGAACAGGTGGAGGCAAAACAGGTGGGGGAAGAGGTGGAGCAGACGGGTGGAGGCAGGCAGGTGGTTGCAGACAGGGGGAGGCAGAGCGGTGGAGGAAAGCAGGTGGGGGCGGCAGGGGAGCAGAGCGGGTAGAGGCAAAACAGGGGGAGACAAAAAGGGTGGAGGCAGAACAGGTGGGGGCAGAGCAGGTGGAGGCAGAGCGGGGGAGGCAGAGCGGGTGGGGGCAACAGGTGGGGCAGAGCAGGTGGAGGCGAATAGCTGGAGGCAAACAGCGGGAGGCACACAAGTGGAGGCAAACAGCGGAGACGGGAGGTGGGGCAGACAGGTGGAGGCAGAACGGGTGGAGGCAGCCCAGGGGAGGCAAACAGGTGGAGGCAGAGCAGTTGGGGCAAGCTGGAGGCAGAACAGGTGGGAGACAGTTGGGAGCAGAACAGGGGGAGGGCAGAAAGGGGGAGGCAGGCTGTGGCAGAAAACAGGGGGGGAAGAACAGGGGGAGGCAGACGGGTGGAGGCAAAAATGTGGGGGCAGAGCAGGTGGGGGGCCCAGCAGGTGGAAGGAAGAAAAGGTGGGGCAGAGCGGGTGGAGGCAAACGGTGGAGCAGGCAGGTGAGGCAGAACGGGTGGAGGCAAGCGGGGGGAAGCAGAGCAGGTGGGGGCAGAACATGGGGCGAACGGGTGAGGCAGAACGGGTGGAGGCAGAACAGGTGGAGGCAGAGCGGTGGAGGCAGAGGGGTGGAGGCAGGCAGGTGGGGGGCAGAACACGGAAAAAGCGGGGGGGAGAGGGGAGGGAGCAGGTGGGCAGAAGCGGAGGCAAGCAGGGGGGCAAGGAGGTGGGGGAGAGCAGGTGGAGGCAGAAAAGGTGGAGGCAGGCAGGGGGAGGTAAACGGGTGGGGGCAGACAGGTGGGGGCAGAACAGGTGGAGCAGAGGGGGAGGCGGCAGGGGGAGGAGAGCAGTGAGGCAGAGCAGGAGAGGCAAAAAGGTGGGGGCAAACAGGTGGGGGCAGAGCGGTGGAGGCAGAGCAGTGGGGGCAGAGCAGGTGGAGGCAGAGCAGGTGGAGTAGAGCAGGTGGAGGCAAAAACACTGGAGGCGAAAGCTGGGGGAGAGCAGGTGGGGGCAGAACAGCTGAAAGAGAGGGGGGCAGAGCAGGTGGGGGGAAAAACAGGGGAGGCGAGAGGTGGAGGAGAGCAGGTAGGCAGAACGGTGGGAGGCAGAACAGGGGAGGCGAACAGGTGGGCAGGCGGGTGGAGGCAGAAGGTGAAGGCCTGACATTTAAGGGCGGGACAGGTGGAGGCGAACGGTGGAGGCAGAGCAGGTGGGGGCAAAACGGAGGAGGCAGAGCAGGTGGAGGCAGAGGGGTGGAGGAGAAAGGTGGGGGCAGACAGGTGGGGGCAGAACAGGTGGGGGCAGAACGGTGGGGCAAGGCAGGGGAGGCAGAACAGGTGGGGGCAGAGCAGGTGGGGGCGAGAAGGTGAAGGCAGAACGGGTGGAGGCAAAACGGTGGGGCAGATAGGTGGAGGCAACGGGAGGCAGACAGGTGGAGGCAGAGCAGGTGGGGGCAGAGAGGTGGGGGCAGAACAGGTGGAGACAAACAGGTTTGGGGCAGAGCAGGTGGAGCAAGCAGGTGGAGGCAAAAAGCAGGGGAGGCAGATCAGGTAGGGGCCCGAGCAGGTGGAGCAGAGCAGGTGGAGGCGAGCGGTGGGGGCAAAACACTGGAGGCAAAACGGGTGGGGCAAGCGGGGAGGCGAACAGCTGGAGACAGAGAAGGTGGAGGAGAGGGGTGGGGCAGAACAGGGGTACGGGCAGGGAGGCAGAGCAGGTGGGGCAGAACAGCGGGGGCAGAACAGTGGGGGAAAAAAGGGGGAAGGCAGGCGGTGAGGCAGAGCGGGGAAAGGGGCGACAGGTGGAGGCAGAACAATGAGGCGAGCAGGGGGGGCGAGAAAGGGGGGGAGAACGGGTGGAAGCAGAGCGGGTGGAGGCAGAGCAGGTGGGGGGCAGAACAGGTGGGGGCAACAGTGGGGGGCAGGCATGTGGAGGCGGGCAGGGGGAGACAGAACAGGTGGGGGCAGAGCGGTGGAGGCAGAGCGGGTGGAGGCAGAACAGGGGAGGCAGAGAGGTTGAGGCAAGCAGGGGGAGCAAACAGGGGGAGCAGAGCAGGTGCAGGCAAACGGTGAGGCAGAGCAGGTGGAAGCAGACAGGGGGAGGCAAAAACAGGTGGGGGCAGACAGGTGGAGGCAGAACAGGTGGGCAAGCGGGTGGAGGCAGAACAGTGGGGGCAAACAGGTGGGGCATACAGGTGGAGCAGAGCGCTGGAGGCAAAAAACATGGAGGCAAGCAGGGGGAAACAGAGCAGGTGGAGGCAGACAGGGGGGAGGCAAAACAGGGGGGGGCAGAACAGGGGGAGGCAGAGCAGGCGGGGGCAGAGAGGCGAGGCAGGCAGGTGGGGCAAAACAGGTGGAGGCGGAGCAGGTGGGGGTAAAAAAAGTGGGGGCAGAGCGGGTGGAGGCAGAGCAGGTGGAGGCAAACAGGTGGGGCAGAGGGGTGGAGGCAAGCAGGTGGAGGCAGAACATGGGGGGCAAACATTTGGAGGCGACCTTGGAGCAGAGCAGGGGGAAGCGAGCAGTAAAGGCGAGCAGGTGGAGGCAGAACAGGTGGGCAAACAAAGGGGGAGGCAGAGAAAGTGGAAACAGAACGGGTGGAGGCAGAGCAGGTGGGGGCAGAGCAGGTGAAGGCAAGCAGGGGGGGCAGAACAGATGGGGGGCGAGCAGGGGGAAACAGAGCAAGTGGAGCGAACGGTGGAGGAAGCAGGTGGAGGAGAGCGGGTGGGGGCGAACGGTGGAGGCAAGCAGGTGGGGGCAGAGCATTTTGGGGCAGAGCAGGTGGAGACAGAACGGGTGGGGGCAGAGCATGGAGGCAGAGAGGGGGAGGCAAAAGGTGGGGGCAGAGCAGGTGGAGGCGAACAGGGGGAGCAGAGCAGTTGGAGGCAGAACAGGTGGAGGCAAACAGGTGGGGGCAGAGAGGTGGAGCAAACAGGGGGAGGAAAACAGGTGGGGCAGAGCAGGTGGAGGCAGAACGGGGGGAGGCAGGCAGGGGGAAAGAGCGGGGAGCAGAACAGGGGGAGGCAGGGGGGTGGAGGCAGAACTGAGGAGCAGAGCAGGTGGAGGCAGACAGGTGGAGGCAGAACAGGTGGAGGCAGAGAAGGGGGGCAAACGGTGGAGGCAGAAGGGGTGGAGGCAGAGCAGGTGGAGGCAAAACGGGTGGGGCAGAGGGGAGGAGAAAAGGTGAA